TTACCTCAGGTAAGGCGGCCTGCAATCAGGGACCCCAAGAATCTTGCCCTACACCCAGGGCCCCACCTAGAGTCCTCCTTGTATCAATTGGTGCCCAAAGCCCCAGGTGACCCAAACTACTATTTTCCCTAAGACAGACCAGAGTAGGCTCCTGCTATCCCCTCCACCCCCATCCCCTGTCCATCACATTGTTGCTGCCCTAGAGTCAGAGAAAGGCATGGAAACAACCAAGATTCAGACATCCAAGCTTTGGGAAGGGGTTGTTCTCTCCAACTTGGGTAGGCAGCAGTGGAGTGGGCGGGGGCTGAGTCCAGCCCTAATCCTCTGCAGTGGCTGAGAAGACCAAGGAGCAGGCCAATGCTGTCAGCGAAGCTGTGGTCAACAGTGTCAACACAGTGGCCACCAAGACCGTGGAGGAGGCAGAAAATATTGTGGTCACCACCGGGGTGGTACGCAAGGTAAGCCCGGCTCATGTCCTTTCCCTGGGCTCCCTGGCAACAGAAGACACTGTTGGGCACATGGAGAAAGAATGTTAGACAATGGCTGACTTCACAGGCAGCACCCATTGTGTGTGCTGGGGACTTGGGATTCTTTTTTTTTTTTTTTTTTTTTTTAGTTTTTTATTTTTTATATATTTGAATTACAAACAAGATTGAATTACAAGACAATCCCAGTTCCCTTCTCCCTCCCTTCCTCCCCTGCCACCGGGATTCATTTTATGCACGAGGAAAGTGACACTCAAACTATGCCCAGCCCATCACTTTTGACATATAGGAATAAATTTTACAAGTGAATATAGGCCCTATATGGTGAAAGGCAGCCTTCTAGGCAGGTTAAAGTTTCCTAGCCACCACCAGAGCTACCTGTTATCCTTTGTCCAACCTCCCTCTGTCCCACAGTCTGGCTGCTGCCTCCCCATGAAAAGGTGGGGGAAGCACTGCCTACTTGTGGTGGACAAGCAGTAGAGCTCTGGCTCCACCCTCTGCTGAAGTCTTTGTGTGAGCATGTGGGTTGTGTGTGCATTGTAGGAATGGTGGAGATGTCTATGGAGGTGTATGCATGTGATGCCTGTGTGAACGGGTGTGTGTGTGTGTGTGTGTGTGTGTGTGTGTGTGTGTGTGTGGCAGGCAGCTGAAAGAACAGAGCCATCACGCTCTCTAGGGATAGATGCCAGAGGTAGGAGCTGTCTCAGCACTTGCCAAACAGTAAGCTCTGCTTTAAGCATTTTACACTTACCCTTTTAATGGGCTCCCAAATTCCACAAAATGGGATGTGGAAAGGAAAGCCCAGAGACATTAATTAGGTGATGAGCTAATGACTAGTCTCATGGCTAGTCTGTGTGAGTATGGAGCCTCCATGAGTGGCCAGCTTGTGAGCTATACTCTTGAAAGAGTGAGTATAGATAGTGCAGGGTTGGGGATTCCAGGATGGAGGCTGGGGAGGAAGCTGAGTCCAAAGACTTGTCATCTTGTTGTGGCCCCCATACTTACAACAGGCTACCCCAATGGTGGAGCTCTAGGGTCCCACCCAGGCAATGCTGCAGAAGACTGCTCTGAGGAGTGGGTGAAAGGGGAGGTGTCACCCATACCAACACCTACTGCTAGGGCCAGCACAGGGTCCCTTGTCACTGGAGTATGCAGGTGCACCTCTGTGCAACTTTGGAAAGAGACTCTCTCTGGATCCACATTTCCTCATCTGAAGGGGCTCCATCGCATGGGGCTGTGGGGTAAGGCAGAGAAAGGATGCCAGGAAGCAGTTCTGCCAGATACATGGGGAACACCCACCAACACCACCATCATCACCACTGTTACCAGTGCTACAAGCATCCCAGGAAGCATCCTCCCAAGCCCCTAGCAAGAAGGATTCTAGGAGCAAGTTTCAGGCTACCCCTGGCTAACCCTGAAGAAGCTACTGAGCCCTTGGAGCTGTACCAAGGAAGAGTCATTACCTAGTGACACAGACTGATTCTGACACCATACCCTAGCCCTACCAGTGAACTTCAAGAATGCAGCATGGCTCTCTGGCCACTCATACCACAGGTTTCAGGTGCCATTCTTGGGGTAGTATGCCTAGGCAAAAAGTTACTTGCCCTTCATCCAAAGAGCCTGGTTCTGTGTGACCCTGGCTGATAGTTCTGTGTCCTTTTGTCTCTCATTGCTTTTGGCCCTGAGATAACACAGGTTCTGAGAACAGACTTCAGATATACCATCAATCTTGTTCTAAACTCCCTGCTGTCATGACCATGTAAGCAAATGTTGTGGTGAGTGGGGAGACAGAAGACAGGCCTGAGTCAAGAGCCCATCCCAAAAGCCAGAAGAGGGACCTGGAGCAAACAGGACCGATGCCAACAAGCTCTGACCCTTTGAGCTCTGAAGCCTTGTATTAGTAGACCCTGACCTCTGTCCTCAGGGACTCTGTGAACAATGATGGCATGCAACTATTCACATGGCCTGAGTGTGTGTGTGTGTGGGGGGGGTTCATGTGATTCAAGGGTCTCTGCCCACTCTCAACCTTACTCCACATCTTCCAGGCTTCCTCACCTAAGAAACCTAAGCATGTAGGGAGGCAAGTACCTATGACTTGGGATCTGTTTGTGGAAGATGAAGCTGGGTTGCAGGGTATCTGGTACACACAGATGTCTTGGGAATTCGGCACCTCCAGATATTCTAAGTACAGTAAGATGATGAAAGGTCTCTGCTCATCTGTGAGACCTGGCAGGGGAGGCCCTGGCTGCAGGCAGCTGAGGAGGCAGTGTATCTTCCCACAGCATCATGTCCTCTTTGCACCCCTGTAGGAAGACTTGGAACAACCTGCTCCTGCACAGGACCAGGAGGCCAAAGAGCAAGAGAAGGATGAAGAGGTAAGAGCAAGGCTCCCAGAGTACACCAGAAAGTTCTGATAGAAACCTGATCGACATACAGAAATCCTTCTTTCTGAGTCCTGGGAAACCTTCCACAGCCACCCACAGGGATGTGGGTGTGGCAGCCTAAATGCATGATCTCCTTCTAGTGACCCTTTCCAGGCCTGGAGCTGAGTGTGTCTCTCTTCCTCCCTCCTCCTCTCTTTTCCTCCCTCCCCTCCCTGCTAGGCCAAGAGTGGAGGAGACTAGGATGCTGCCATCAGCCACAGAGGCCAAAGGGACACCCTTCTGCCTTGGACCCTGTTCCTACCTGGCACAATAAGTGCCCTGCCTAGAGTGTCCTGCAGGTTGTCTATGTTCTCTGCTCCCCAGCCTGGTGCCACAAGCCTGTCCACACACGCTGCTGCCAGTGCCAGCGCCCCCTGCTGGCTCCTTTTGCCCTATGGTCCTTAGGATCCCACAGACCAGATGCTGCTGTAATTTTTTTTTTTAATGAGTCCAAATAAAACCTGAGCCCAACTCCCACCCATGGTTCTTCTCTGTGCTGTGCCATCATCATAAAGCCCCTTAGACATTCCCATGAGACAGACACCTGCTCAGCCTTTGACGGAACCAGGTACACTTCAAGACATACAGAGTTCTGGAACCTGTGCTTTCAGGAGCACTGTCCCCTTCACAGCAGTAGGGTGGTGGCCTTTCTCTCAGCTCCCCAGATGACAGGAGTGCAACCAGACAGTCCCAGTTTCAGCCTCAGTGCCCCTTTAGAGTGGATCCTACCACCTGCCTGGTTCATCATGTCTGAGGATGCTCAGGTGGGCAGAGGATGAGGATGTCTGTACAATTTCAGCCTGTGTGCTATGGAGACAGGGGCACCTTATGCCTTCCCCAGAACACGTCGACAACCATAGTGAGGACAGACATAGCAGAGCAGAATGACGCTGAGGCACCTCCCACCTGGCTCCAGGCATGCTCACACAGGTGGGCTTTCCTTTCCTGCCAAGCCCAGGAGCCTACAGGACAGCATAAACAAAAGAAAATGGCATTGGTATATTTGGAACTGTGAATATGGCTCAGTGGTAGATTGCTTCCCTACCAAGTTGGAGGCTATGGGTTTAGTCCTCAGTATAGCAAATGAATGAATAAACACAGCTGGTATGTACCTTAATAAGCCTTGAGAAGAAATTAAGGAACCGAGAGTTTAAACAACTTGCCAAGAGCACAAAGCTGAGATGCATTAGGACTGTGCACAAATCAGATGGCCTTGTTCCGGAACCATTTGATCCCATGCTGTGCCATGGCCTCCAGGGTACTATTTCGGAGTCCTCACCCCTCCAAAATTTCAAAACAGTACAGGTACCTAGCTTGACTGGGGTCTAGCACTAAGCTGTCTCATCCTTGGAAACTTTCCCAGGGATCTCATCCTTGTCTTGGATACTCAGTTGGGGTTCAGAACTTTGAAGTCCAGGTCTCCAATGCCAAAGCCAGAACTGGAGACCACACTGGTCCAAGACACTCCCACCCAGCTTGTGCAATAGGGAGCAGGGGTCAAGGAAAGCCCAGTCCACCTGCCCTTGAGCTTCGGTATCCAGGTGAGTCCACCTCTGAGGAGGAAGGAGAAAACTGAGGGTCAATGGTCCCACAGATAGAAGGAAGGGTAGAGAGGCTGAGGGCAGGCAGTGTTCCTGCACACACTACCTACCCAGCTCACAAATTTCAGGAAGTTGTCCCCATCTGGGCCAGAAGAGAAAGCAGAGGACCAAGGCTAGACTGGGCAGTAGACCTACGAAGTCTCTAAGAGCCTTTGCACTCTCTGCTCCCCCATTTGAGTCCTGTTCCAGACTCAAATGACAAACATCAGTCAGCCTGCTCCAGGAAGACCCTTCTGCAACCTGCAGGCACCTACAGGGTTCCCAGCCTTTAACCTAGTCGCACGCTCTGGGTTAGCCTCTGGAAAAGGAAAAGCGATGTTCTTTCTGGCCTTAGACCTGAGCTCATTCAAGAAGCCCGACCCCATCTCCTCCTGAAGGCTCTTGGGCGTGTTGGGCTGTGATTTGGGGAAAATAAACCTTCCAACCTCAGCTGCTTTTAACTGACTTCCTTCTCTTTCTTCTTTCTCTTTTTGTTAAAAGTTAAATATTGATTGGATTGTTAAAAAGTGTTTAATTATATGTACATGTGTGTATCTGAGTGTGGGTTTGTGCACATGAGTTTCGTGTCCCCAGAGGTCAGAAGAGGGTGTCAAACCCCTCGGAGCTGGAGTTAGAGGCAGGTAAGAGCCGCCCTCCATGGATGCTGGGACCCAGTTTCTGATTCTCTGAAAAAACAGCAAACATTCTTAACTGGGGGTGAGCCATCTCTCCAGCAGCCCCCCCCCAATTTAACTTTATTTTTTTATGATAAGATCTCACTGTGTAGCTCTGGCTGTCCTGGAACTAGCTATGTAGACCAGGCTGGCCTCAACTCACAGTGATCTGGCCTGCCTCTGCCTCCCAAGTGCTGGGATTAAAGGCGTGAAACACCATACCTATCTCATGTAGCCCAGAATGGCCTCAGACTTAGCATGTAGCTAAAGTGGCCCTGGACTCATGACCCTCCTAGCTCTACCTCCCAAGGGCTGAGATCACAGCAGTGCACCAGCATGCATTCTCCTGCCTCTACCTCCCAGTGTTGAGATCATGTGTAGCACAGCTGCTTTTTAGGGCACTTTTGGTTTTGTTCTTGTTTTTGTTTTTTTGTTTTTTTTTGGGGGGGGGGGGGGACAGGATTTCACTAAGTAGCCCAGACTGGCCTCTGACTTTGCAGTGATCCTCCCTGCTATAGTCTCCCAAAGCCCTGGCATTATAGATGTGAACCACCACACTGAGCTTTAAAAAGTTGACTGTAAAAATCACTAATTTTGGGCCAGCGAGATGGCTCAGGAGATGGAGTGCTGGCTGCTGAGTCTAATACCATGGGTTCAATTCCTGGAACTCTATGATGGAAAGAGAGAAGTGACTCTGGCAAGTACTCCATCCTCCATACATTGTGGGGCACATGTGTGCACACACATGTGTGCTCTCAAACACAGAGATCCCCCTGCCTCTGCCTCCTGAGTGCTAGGATTAAAGGTGTGTGCTACCACTGCCTAGCAAAATAAACAATCTTTCAAATTTTCTTTTAAAACATCTGGGTATTGGTGGCACATACCTTTACTCCTAGCACTTGGAAGGCAGAGGCAGCAGTTCTCTGAGTTCGAGACTAGCCTGGTCTATAGGATGAGTTCCAGGACAGACAGGCCTACACAGAGAAACCCTGTCTTGAAGAAAAAAAGAAAACAAACAAACAAAATAATCTGGGGCCAGATGAGGCGAATAACTCTACTTGCTGAACTCAGGAGACAGAGGCAGGAGAATGAAGAGTTCAAGGCCAGACAGAGTTATAGGGAGGCCTTGTCCTGAGAAAGGAAGTGAATCAAGTAAATCACCAAATGCAACTGAGCACCTTAGTGGTGCCACATGGGTTGTGATGCTGACAGTCACCTCGGTTACTTCACTGAGCCTGTCAGACTATGTTAAGGATGACTGACACGTGTTACCTTAGCCTTGGAGTCATGCTTCCACTATGCAGATAGGCATGATTGTCAGTTCAGGGATGATTGCTGAGGACTGGCAGTAAAGACTGACATACCCTAGACTCACCCAGTCCCCCTCCTCCCCATTCAGGGCTGACAACATCAAGATAAGTGAGACTACGTAATGAGTCTTTCTCTCTCACCAGCTGGCTTCCAAATAACCACATGGAGACTTATTTATTATGAAAGCTCCGCTGATAGCTTAGGCTTGTTTCTAACTAGCCCTTATAACTTAAATGAATCCATTTGTATTCATTTATATGCTGCCACATGACTCATGGCTTGTCACCTCATCTCCTACATGTCATACTTCCTCTGTGTCTTGTATGATTAAGGTCTCTTTATTCCAGAAGACACCAAGGTAAAACACAGGCCAGAGCTAGGTTATAGAACCCAGCCAGCACGGCCAGAACAAAAGGGTCCAGGGTCCCCACGTGCAGCCCCTCTTAAACCTCTCTTATGTCACCCCGGCTTTCCTTCACCACGCCCTTATGGGCGAGTCCCGGGTCCACCTGGTACCTGTCCCAGGACTATTGGGCGGGGCTAGGGTGTCTCCCTACAGTGTCTCCTCCGACTCTGCCGTTCTTCCTAGCATCCTCTGTGTCTGGAAATCCTGCCTAGTTATTGGCTGTTCAGCTCTTTATTAAATCAACCAGGGTGACACATCTTCACAGTGTATGAAAAGATTATTCCACAACAGGACTATGCTGTTTTAAAACTGATACGAGTATCTGGATCTGTGACATCACAGGGCTGCAGGCCCATTAGAGAGGAACCTGTGTGCGTTCAGTTGCCCAGCCATTCTTTTCCTTGGGCCTAAGAACAAAGGGGCTTCTTCTCATCTGTTGGCATTCTGAAGAAATCTTCCTCAGTCACTGGACCCCTTAATCATTCAGCAGATAGACTTGGGTTTGGGAGTAAACATTCATCAATCTATTTAATGTCCATGAAACTACTTTAGGGGCCGGGTGTAGTGGTGAAAGTGGTCAGGTGTGATGGTGCACACTTTTAAATCCAGCACTCAGGAGGAAGAGACAGGCAGATCTCTGTGAGTTCAAGGCCATCATGGTCTACAGAGTGAGTTCCAGGGCAGGCTTCAAAACTACAGAGAGAAAACCTATCTTGAAAAAAACAAAAGAAAGAAAATTGAGCAGACCAGGGCATTTCTGCTCTTTGTTTAGCTGGTGGGTGGCAAGCTCTGTCCCTTGCCTGACAAAGAGGAACATAAAGTCAACTTCAGGGTTTTACTTCACCCTCCTGTATCTGTCCTGGTTGGATCCCAGGGTCCTGGGGCACACAGATCACTTGCAGTGCCAGAGCCAGGTGGGTGGAGACAGGGGTTCTGTGTTTACCACAGCCCTAGAATTTTTGCCCATTGCAATAGATTGGAGTCCTGATGTGAGAATTTGAGTAGAACCCTACTGACCTTTCTGCCTCAGTTTCCTTCTGTAAATCCATGTTATCTCAGCTTACTACATGATTCTAAAAGTTATACAAGAAACTGTAAAGCAGTGTGTGTGTGTGTGTGTGTGTGTGTGTGTGTGTGTGTGTATGTGTGCACGCACACATTCCTGCTTGTGTGCTCTTGAAAATGCTCAATAAAAACCCTGCTACTATTAGTATCAACTTAGGCTTCCAGCTCCCAGGATGACCAGATGGAGTCCCCAACTGAGGAGGAAGGAGCCACGGCCACTGAGTAAGTAGTCTCCTGGATCTCCCTTCTAGCCCTTCTGCTTTCCTTAGTTGCCTTCCCCACTCTAGTTAGATCTCTGCCTTCCCTGTGAGGAAGTGTCCCCCCTCCCTCATAGCCTGTTACTCCCTATTTCTCCCCAAAGCCGAGAAATCTGTCTGCTGACCTGCT